CAAGTAGTTAAAGGACAAACAATTAGCATAGATCTGGACCCATGTGACGTGGCAACTTGTATGAGGAAATGCCACATGATTCTAGGTGACAACAATGTTAGAGACGCTCGTTGCTATGCTAATAATAGGGTTTGCTATTGTTTTGAAAATCCATGATTCCCAAATCTTCTTTCTCTCACTAAAATATGGATAAGTAGAGAGAGCAAGAGAGATCAACAAGAGCTTCTTTTTTTTCATTTGTTCTTGTTGCAAGTTTAATGTGATAATATGTAATAAGATTTAAAAGCAAAGTTGTACATTTTTACATCAACTTCACTGGATTTGTTGTTCGACTGTGCTTCAAGAAAACGAAAACATTAATTCAAACTAAATTTCTTAAGAACTCGCAAAAGTTATAAGATGTTACACGTACGTGTTTCTCATTGTACTAGTTGGTTCGAAAGCATATATCGAAAAGCAAAACTGTGAGGAATCCAATCAACTTTCTTCGACAACTTTCCTTGATGAAACCTATTCACCAAAGAGTGAGGCATTGAGTGGTCGAGCATTTCCGCTAAAGCCAATTGAGATAATCCCATTTCCTTTACGAAACATTCCACATTCTTCGGCACAAGCAATCTTTGTTCTTTATATATCCTCATATTCATTTGAATGTACTCTTCTTTCGCCATTTCTAGCTCCTGAAACACTTTCTTGGCCGTATAAAAACCAACCTACACATAATCAAATATCTTATATTTATTACTACATTGTTACTTTTTTCATCTATTGTATATTATTAATTGTTGCAGAAAAAAAGAAAAAAAAATTGGTGGCTTACTAATGGATAGGATAAACATCCGGAACAAATTAGTACGTTAAAGTATATTTAGTTTTACTATAGCGAAATAAATTGATTTTATAATGATCGTTTTTGTCATTACCAAAGCCGGACGAGGCAATCGGCACCCTAAAATCGAACTTTGTATTGTGTCTATACTAATGGTGGTTTGGCCTCCAATCTTGAATCTTTTCGTATTGATAAATGATGAAAAAACAATGGAAAAATGGACAATAATTAACGTAACCTTGAGTACTAAGGAGATTCGTTTTATGCTGCAGAAAATGGTACGGTTACATTTTAATATTTATGCATTTTAATGTAATTATATACTATATATAAATAATATTTATATGATTAAACTCTTACATGCATTACTAATGGTGTAATGCATTGTAAACATTAATCCAGAATGCTAATTTAATTTCTCTTCATTCTTCAATTTCCCTGGATCACTTTGGCTCCGTTCAAGTGCGAGGGCTGCAAGGAGGCCGGCATCGGCTCCCGCTGGCCACTACAGGTGCTGCGGCGGCGGAGGGCCCTTCCCCGTCAATCAGCCACCCGTTCTACACGAAATGCTCGTTCCAGTTCATGAGCAGGACGCCTGGTGCGGTGGCGCGTTACTGCAACGCGTGTGCGAAGGACGTGGTTGGGTTCGTCTACCACTGCAACTCATGCGGCTTCGATCTCCACCCCTGCTGCGCCAAGCTCTCGATGGTCCTCGACGACGGCGAAATGATACGATCTCAATGTATAGATCAATAGTTCTTACGGAAAAAAAACGCAAGAGCTTTTCAAAGAGAAAATATTATTATGCATAACCATAATTATACAACTTTATTGTTCCTACTTATACTCAAAAAAAGAATCCTAATGACTAAGGAAATAATAAAAGACATTAAAAAGAAGTTGGCAATGACTAGAACTCATGCACTAAGTAAACAAGAAAACTATGCAATTCCAACTTCTCTCATGACTCTATCTCATGCAAATAGCGGGGATATTTGACTTGGGTGTTAGAGAATATTATATTATAGAACTCTTGTAATATTAGGATTCTAGTATGATTGAGTTACCTAGATTAGTTAGGATTTAGTTACCTAGTCAAACTCTGTTACCTTGCAATATTTCTCTATATATATTCCATGTAATCAACCCATAACACAATGGGGGTTTCTATTCTATTACGTATTATTTCTCTCATTCTCTATTCTTCCTATATGGTATCAGAGCGCCAGGTTTAGGTTTTTTAACCTAGCCGCCTTTCTTCTCCATGGCGGTGACCACCCAATTTTCTCCCTCCCCCGGTGGTGGTACTCTAATATTTTTCTTTTTTTTTTTTCTATCTTTTTTATGAACACCACCCAATTTTCTCCCTCCCCGGTGGTGGTACTCTAATATTTTTCTATCTTCTTCGTCTTCTTCTTCTTCTTCATGGCCTAAAACCTAGCCGCCGCTTCTCTTCTTCTCCATGGCCGGCGACACCAAACCGAAATTTCTCCCTCTCTCGGTGTTGTATCTTCTCTATCTTTTTCTTCTTCTTCTTCTCCATGGCCTAAAACCTAGCCGCTGCCTCTCTTCTTCTCCATGGCCGGCGACCCATCTCATATCTCCTCCCTCTCTCATCTCTTCTCTCTATCAAAAAAAAAAAAAAAAAAAAAAATTATCTCTATTGTTATTTTTTTTTTCCCTATCATTTTGGCAGATATTTTCACCAATGATTTCACTACTGCTGGATTTCGTGAGTTTTCTGTCCAGTCTTCACTTTTGGAGTATATTCGTTCCGACTGCAGGAGCGTGTTAGCAAGTGATTGTCCAGTCTTCACGTTCGTCACGTTTCGACTGCGGGGGCGTGTTAGAGAATATTATATTATAGAACTCTTGTAATATTAGGATTCTAGTATGATTGAGTTACCTAGATTAGTTAGGATTTAGTTACCTAGTCAAACTCTATTACCTTGCAATATTTCTCTATATATATTCCATGTAATCAACCCATAACACAATGGGGGTTTCTATTCTATTACGTATTATTTCTCTCATTCTCTATTCTTCCTATATTGGGTATTTTACTGCTGTGTCGAATCGTATAATCAAATTGTACTTGTACAAAAAAATCAGCTCCCCATGTCACAGGCAAGCTAATTATATTAAATCGTCATCTCTTTCTCTCTCTAGATATCATGACACTCTCTCTTTGTCTCTCTAAGTTTATTATTTAAAAATTATATTATATAGGTGTGGGAGAAAGGGAGTTAGGACTTGGGAGCTGGAGCTACAGATCGTCATGCAAAAAGTACAACCTACACGTGGCGTGCGTGAAGGAAATGCTTGTTGACAGCTGGCACCAGATATACCACTGTGCATGGGGAGCACCTACACCAGCAGGAAATTAGAGGCTACGCGCGACGAGGATCCCCAGCTTAAGAGCTACCCTGGAGACGCACAATCACAAGAAGAGCAGCAGCAGTCGGAAAACAACAGAGAAATGCAATGAGGTGGCTAGTTTGGTTTTATTTTATTTTCGTTTTTTTAATGTTTTGTTTTCTTAATTTCGATTTTCTTTTTAAATGATTATTTTGATATTTTTTTCTCAGTTTTTTTTAATAAAAAATATTTTTCTTAATATTTTTTTTTATTAATTCTTTTATTTCGATTAATTTTTTTTTTAATATTTAAAAAAAATCCAACAGGTTTATCAAAGTGAAATTCACTGTACACTTATCGAATCTGCAATAAATTTGTTACCACTATAAATTTATCGAATACCACTACGAACTAGTCGAAATCCACTATAATTTATTGAAACCCACTATAAATTTATCGAAACCCACCACGAACTTGTCGAATTCCACTATAAACTTATCGAAATCCACTATAAATTTGTTGAAATCCACTATAAACTTATCGAAATCCACTATAAATTTATCAAAATTCATTACAATTAGTCAAAATCCATGTATAGTGGATTACACTTTGATAAACCTGCTGATTTTTTTTTAAATATTAAATTAAAAAGAATTAAAAATTTTAATAGAAATATAAAAAAAATAATAAAAAATAATTAAACAAAAAAATTTGTATTAAAAAAAATTGAAATCAAGAAAAAAAGCACTATTAGAAAACGAAAAATAAATATAAGACTATTTTTTTCAAATCAAAATGAAAAATATAAATAAGAAAAAATAATTTAAAATAAAAACTGAAAATACAAATAAAAAAATAAAAAAAAATAATCAATATATGTTTTAATCGAAATAAAGAAAACTATTAAAAAATCAAAAAGAAAAAAGAAAAACAGAAATTGACTTGAGATGGGGAGACATTAGAGGGATTTGCATATTTACAAAAAAAGTAATTGATTTTCCATGATAATTGATATAAGGGTATAACAGTGAAACTTAATTATTTTTGGCTTAATTCCACTTTGCACCCTTCAAATATACAATTTTGACACTTTGCACTCTCAAAACAAAATAATAGCACTTTGCACGCTCGAAACACAATAAATCATGCATAATGCACCCCAATGATTTTTTAAAGCTAAAAATGTAATTTAATATTTTTAGTGATATTTTTTAGGATGCCAAATTTCAAATATGTTTTTTATTCATCAATCATTTTTGAAACTATAAAGTGCAAAGATAAAAATATATTTCATCAACATATTTAAAAATTATATTTTTTTTTTATCAAAATAAAATATTTTACGAAAAAAAAATCATTCACCTATTCCGTTATGAAGTTATCTGAAAATCATGTTTTCTTCCAAATATTTTTACCTAATATTTTCAACCAGTTACAATAAAAAATCCATTAATCGAATAATTTAGTGATAAAAGCTTATTTTATTTTATTTTTGTAAGAAAGTGTAGTTTTTTATAAATAATCCGGTGTAATTTTTGTTTTTTCGCACTTTGTCCGCTCGAAATTATGTTGAAGGTTCAAGTAAATAACAATTTATTTTTTTTATTTTACACCCCAAAAAAAACACCAATGAAAAATAAAATTGCCTTTATTATTCAATTAAGGGTGCATTGTGAATGATTTATTGTGTTTTGAGGGTGCCAAGTGCTATTTATTATTTTTCGAGGGTGCAGAATGGAATTAAGCCATTATTTTTTATTAATTAAAAATATTTTGGACTTACCTTAAAAATCTAATTTTTTTTTTGGTGATTGTAACTTCACATGTCTAATAAGGGGTTGCCAAAATTTCTCATTTTATATACATAACATTTTTGTTGGGACCCCTTGGGGGGGGGGGGGGGGGGGTCCCAATCCTATATATGGCCCGCCAACCCCCACAAAACCTATTTCCGAAAAATGACCCTTCCATAAAAGTGAATTTGGAAAAGGGAATGGTAAAAAAAGAAAATTATTGGTTAAAATTTAAAAGGATAAAAATAAGTTAAAAAAAAAAATAATTAAAAAAAAATTCCCGGGATAAAGGAAACCTAATTAATTGGAACCTGGTTGGAACCAGGTAATGGTCCCCCAAAATAAGAAAAATTTGGTCCAGTGGTTTCCATTTAAAATGGAGGACCTTGAATACCCTAAAAGAAAAAAACCCGTTATCGGGTATTCCCACATGGGATCCAAACCTGGAACCCGACCTGGGAACCCAAGTTTTTAACCAGGAAAGGTTTACCGAACCTCCCCGGCCCCAAGGGAACACCCCCGTTTTTTTGAGATTTAAAAAAAAAAAAAAAGACCGGAAGAAAGATATTTTTTGGAACCAGGGGGAAGGGTTCCAAACCCCCCAATTTGGGGAAAAAATTTTGCCAAAAGAAAAAGAAAAATAAAATTCCACAGGTCAAGGCCCAAACTCCGGGGCCCACCCCCCCCACGGGGCCGAAAATTGGGCCAAAAAAATTACCAAAACCCCCCCCTTCCTAAATAAACCCCCAGAATCCAGGGGAAAACCTTGGGGGGGC